TTTTTGTTTTCAATTGGTTAATATTAATATTTATGAATAGAGTAACATGGCCTACTGGCTATCACCACAATTTTTTTTATTTATATATATATATATATATAATAGAAGGGGAGGAGGAGATATCAGCGCCGGCATTCAAGGAGTCACCCATATATTATTAATCTATCTAAAAATTTACATTATTGGTGATGATTTAATTTTCTGTCGCGTAATTTTTTTTTTGATTTTTTCTTCTATTACAATTTTTTTTACACTCGAGCACTTACTTCAAAAGTATTACTTCTCTTGTTTCAATTATTTGTCTTTTGTGATTCTGATACGTCAAATGTATCACAATATCCTTTAATTTTATAGTCTTGTACATATAATTTGAAAAGTTGAAATTAAAAGACTATCAAACAGAAAAAGGTCATTTTTTAAAGAATAGACCAAAATGGAAAATAGGACAAGCATTTAGTGGAGTAAATTTTAGGTTTAGCAAACATAAAAATCATATTTGTATGCTATAGTTATAGTTTGTATAATTGCGCTCCATAGCAAATTTTATGTTTATGACTATTAATCTGTATATTTCAGTATACATATACATAAAAAATAGAGCAACTTTCACATATTGCAAACAAAAAAATCATATTTGTATGTTATAGCAAAGTTTGCATAATTGCGCTCCATAGCAAACATATATATGTATAATTCGCTATACATATACAATTGAAAGCTATGTATATTTCGCTATACATATATACAAAAAGAAGCAATTGTATAATTCGCTGGCTCCTCTTCAGATTTGTATAATTTCACTGGCAGGCTATTTGTATAAATTGTTGTTAGCCTCTCGTTTGTATAAATCGTTGACAAAAATATTTGTATATCGAAAATCACTCTCTCTTTCGCTTTATACAAACATAAATTATACATTATATTTGTATAATCTGTGTTTGTATAAAATGAGAAAGAGAGAAAGACAAAAGAGAACTGGGCAGGGGAATATTTGTATTGTATAAGGCGAATATATATTTGCATGTGTATATACAATTTTCTTTCGCTTTATACAAACATAAAGTATATATTATACAAACATAAATTTTACATTATATTTTATAATATGTGTTTGTATAAATCGAGAAAGAGAGAAAAGCAAAAGAGAACTGGGCAACAAAATACTTTTATTGTATAATTATAAGTGTATAGGACGAATATGTATGTATTTGCATGTGTATATACAATTTTCTCTCGCTTTATACAAACAGAAACACAATTTATACAATTCTGTTGTATAAAGCGAGCACAGAGGGAGCGAGCGAGAAAGGGAGAGTGGCGAGCGAGAATTTGGAGGAAGAGAGGCGATTGACAAACGTTTGCTACGGGGTGCAATTAAATCTAACAGTAGCTACTCCATTTATTTTAGATTATAAGTTTGCCATTCTGTACAATTATCCCTAAAAAATATGTATTTGGGTCTATTTGTATATTTCGGTATACAAATGGGTCCTGTATTTGTATATTTTGGCATACAAATGAGTCCTGCATTTGTATATTTCAGTATACAAATGAGATGACAAAAAACATGAAATGTTTGTTGCGAATTACAAATAAAAGAAACTATGACTATAACATTTAATTTGAATTAATAATTTGCTATTTCATATAATTTTTCCTTTTTTTAACACATAAATAAATTTGTTTTTTTCTTTTTATATATAAAAACACACAACATATACATACCTATCAGGCTATCACAGATTCACAATAAGGACTTGTCACTGGAGTAAAATACTGAATTCCTTTACCGTTAGAATACTGCCAATAATTCAAGAAATTAAATTGAAGTCTCTGTGACCTCTTCCATGTATTATAGTACACTTTGCAGAATTTCTACCCAACTTAATAATGACGTGACCAAATTTATGTAGGTCCAAATATGTGATTATATGATGCATCTTTTAACTTTTTACTTTAAAAAATATAGAAAATTTCACGTCTGATCTGTTCATATAATCGATTTCAAGTTCAAATAGAGAAGGACTGTGGTTCAGAGATAATTGAAAACAATTATCTCTATAACTCATAAAGCTAGGAGTAAAGCTATACGATACATATAGATTATATTGAATTTGTTATTGTTTTATGAAAAAAAAAAAAAAAAAACTCATTGTTTTATTCGTAATTACAGAAAATCAGCCAGTTGGATCTTACGTAAAGGAAAATATTAAAATATCTTGCGTGGTCACCTAGGTAAATTAAAAAATCTGTCTTTGTCCTATTGCAAAACTGTCCATTTTAAGCGTTCTTTTCAATTTTTAGGATTAATCCATAATATATTGTTTTCGGAAATTAAAATTAGCATTATTATTTTCTGAAATATAGAGTACCATTGTCCATTTATCTATCATTGCTCTAATAAAAAAGACTATACATGCTGACGTGGAGGAAAAGTGTAATTTAATTAATTTTTTGTATGATTAATGTTACTAATTTCCTTTAATTGGGTTAAATTTTACGTAAAATGAAACGAATATCTTAAAGTCAAATTCAAGAATTATTGATTTGTTTAGCTGTCTTTTCTGAGCGGTTAACCTAACTCATTTAGTTGGTAGGAAGGATAAAGTGTGTTTGTAAATTATGGTGCCACCGGATTATAGAAATTAGTTTTTAAATTTGTTTGTATTTTTTTTACTCATTTCCTTCCCATATTTTAAATAAAATACTAAGGGTCTATTTAAAAAGCCACCAAGTAATTGGAATTGATGTAATTAGTAGGGTAGTAATTACACAATTCAGTGTTACGCTGACATATTTGTTTGTCACAGTGTAATTACAATGTAATTATAACTGTACGGTTTGGTTCAGTGGCAAAGCCAGAAATTTTACGAAGGGTGTCCAAGAATTGCATAAGTAAATAAAATTAATGTAACACATGAGTGTACTAAAATTTTGTAAATCAAACTACGCTACATTAAATATAATTTATTTTAATTAAAAAATATACCAAAAAAATTAAAATCAAACTACATAATAATTAGCTTTGACGTTCATGTTTATATAAAAGGAAGTGAACGAACAAAGAAAAAAAAGAGAAAATTCAGTTAGAATGAAATCACTTTTATGCTTCAAGATTTTACGAATCTCTGAGGATTAACAATGAGACATGAAAAATAAATAATAGAGTCAAACGAATTTTCTTTTAAAAGGAAATTTTATATGGAGCCTTTTTCACTTTTAATAGCTTTATAAAAAAAACAAAAAAATAAAAAATAAATAGGACTTACTTATTAACTTTAAATTAAATAATTACTTTTAAATTTTATTAAAAATTTTAATGGAAAGAAAAAAAAATTCAAATGTAGGTCTCTAATTTAATATTATTTTAATTGATAATATTATATTAATAAATTAGATGTTAAAAAGACCAGCCAACGAGAATTGAACCGGGTGAACGCTGGCCATTAAGCTTTCGCTGGGGAACTGAAACCAATGCGCCAAGAGACTATTGTTTTCAAGGTGTCCAAAGTATGTTATTTAACCATTTAAAAGATCATTTTACTTATATATACGATGTAATTTTCCGATGAAGCATGTCCAATTGGACACCCTAAGCCTACTGTAGCTCCGCCCCTGGTTTGGTTGCACAAGTGTAATCATAAGGTTATATTGAATTTGAAATTAATTATTTAAAATTAAAATTTTATATCAGACAAATAAAAATATTTATAAATAATATTAAATTAAATATTTAAGATATATATTATCTCTTGAAAATATATTAATTAATAAACATATGTTCTTAACAAATTTATAAAAAATAATTGATTTATATTTTTTAATAGTATATCTTAATTAAATTAATCATAAAAATTAAAAATACATAATTTCTATAAACATTATGAAATGCATGTTTGACAAAAAGATTAATATTATAAATATAATATCATAAAATTATAAAACATTTGACAAAAAAATAATCTATCAAGTCTAACTTAAAAAAAATAGCTTGTTATGTAAAATATCAAATCAATAGCATATAATCACATAAAGTAAAAGTTGAAAATAAAATATTAATAGTATAATTTATTTATTTTTTTGAAAATATCTTTGAGTACCCCAGTTATCATGAAAATGAAACCAAACAATTCATTTAGTGACTCCATAACCACTTTGCCTATCTATATCAAAATTTTGCAAAAATCTAATTTCCGATTAAACTTTTCTAACTTAATACACCTAATTTTTATAGTGCTCTAAATACATGTTTCCACTTCATTTAATAGGGGCTATAGAAAACACATATATCATCTTCATTTCATATGTATCTCTTCCAGCAATACTTGTTTACCATCATCTTTAATGCACCTCACTTAATTTAGATCGCGAGCTCTCCCTTTCTCAACCTCTATTGAAAAAATAAGAAAATAATAATTTCAAAGAACTTGATACTCCCTCCGTCCCTTTTTAGTTGTTCACTTTAGAAATAGCACACAGATTAAGGCAACAATGATTAGCACAACGAAGTTATAATTTTACCCTTATGACAACTTTTCACTTCAAAATTACAACCACTTATTTGAATTCAAGTGAAATAAATTGGAGGGAAACAACATACACTTTTACAATTTTCAAGAAGTGTAAATAAGGGTATAATAGGAAAAAATTTGTTGTCCTTTCTTGATTTGTCAAAATGGACAACTAAATAGGGACAACTAAAAAAAGAAATATGGACAAGTAAATAGGGACGGAGGGAGTACTTGATAGTGTGAAAAAGGGGAAAAGAAAAAGGAAATACTATTTATTTATCGAAGGTAATACGTACATGGCAACAAAAATAAGAATAAAAAAGGTGAGAAAATGATTACTCAATCAATCCATTTGGCATTTTTTACTCCAACCCACTGTCGGCACATTAAATAAAATTCCTACCACGACACGTGGCATCTTTTTAGGGTCCCACAGTTTCCTATTTCTCTTCAAAATCCAATTTATACAGCTCACAAATTAACCAACCAATTTCTCTCTCTTTCTCCTCTTTCTCTCTCCTATATCGCCGTCGTGTTATCCGGTGATAAATATATTTTCCTACGGCGTCTGTAATTTTATTATTCCCACAAATACCCCTTCCTCTACGCCACTCTTCGGTTACACTTTATTAATTTTCTTCTTTCTTGCCTATGCAATTAATTTATTGCTGTCTTTTCAAAGGTAGATGCACCAAAAATTCAAGAAACAAGATTTTATGCAATGTATTTTTAGAGTTTTTTCTTTTTTCGCCCACTTGTCTTGCTGATTTTTTGAAGTGTTTTACAGGAATTTTGTGATTTTTCGATTTGTTGGAGTTGGGATTCTTGAATTTATAGTCGCCGCCGGCAGCCATGTCGGGTCCATTAGATCGGTTTGCTAGACCTTGTAAGTTGATTTTCTTGAATTTTACGTGTTTTTTCTTATTTTCAATTTTGAAGTGCATTACTGGTCAACTTTAGTCTACAGTTATTTTTCTTGATTAAAATTAGGGCTTCTTGAACTTCTTTGAATTTTTCAATTTGGTGACTGTATTGGTCAGATGTGTTGGTGGTTCTTGTTGTAATTCTTTTTACCATCACAAGAACGGACAAAAATATATTATAACGAAAAATTGAGAAGAATAAATTTCAAAGGAGACAAAGTTGTTGTTAATTCTTGGAAAAAAATGTAACTAATGCCTTGTTTTTGGTTATGTCCTGTCTGTGTCTGTTTAGGGCATAAGATACAATTGCTTGCAAGTTATATTCTTAAGATGTAAAGAAACACTAAAGAAAATTGGAAAATCATGTAGTAGAGACGGATTGCTACTTGGTTCTGCACTTGGTGAATTCTAATTGACTTGTTCCGAGGACTTGTTTGGTCTAGTTTGTTTTCCCTACTACGCCTCCGCTTTATCTTTTTCGATAGTCTGGAGTTGATTTTCGTGCTCCTATTTTTTTTTATAGGCTTTGAGGGGTCATCTACACATGATGAGAGAAGAGAAAGAAAGTCTGATTTTGAGAATTCAGAGGATGAGAGGAGGACGAGAATTGGTTCCCTGAAAAAGAAAGCATTGAATGCATCAACGAAATTCAAACATTCTCTTAAGAAGAAAAGTAGTAGAAGAAAAAGCAATGGACGGTTGAGCTCACTTTCCATAGAGGATATTCGGGATGCTGAGGAGCTACAGGCTGTTGATCAGTTTAGGCAATCATTACTTTTGGATGAGTTGTTACCTGAAAGACACGATGACTACTATATGATGTTGAGGTAATGTCCTGGTACCTTTAGCATCTACATGTATGTCTGCCCAAAAGTGATAAGATCTATGCTGCATTGAGTTAGTGTGATACTTAGTGTTTAGAGACATTTGGATTATATCTTTGATGTTTGAAACTTTATTCATATGGATCTTCTGTGGAAATTGGATTTGTTTGTCAACTTTATTAAAAGACTTTCTTACAGGCCTGCCACAATTGGAACAAAAGATAGATCAAATGTGAGTATAGATGTTTAAATCTATACATACATGCATGCAGGCGTATGGAGAATTAAGCAGGATCTGGGTCTGGAGTTTTCTGGTTGTTTCTTCTTGGTGTTGTCCAGTTTTAGCAGCATTCCAATTTATTAACAATTGTTCCATGTGTGTTGCAGGTTCTTAAAAGCAAGAAAGTTTGATATCGAGAAAGCCAAGCATATGTGGGCTGATATGCTTCAGTGGAGGAAGGATTTTGGAGCTGACACAATCACGCAGGTAATATTATTCCTCCCCAATGTATTGGCTAGGAGCCTAGGACAATGTTCATTATTATATACTTATCATATCTTTGTCGAATCGTTTAGACTGAAATGTTTTCTGTACTTAATTTCATCAGGATTTTGAATTCCCGGAGTTGGAAGAAGTGGTAAAATATTATCCTCAAGGTTATCATGGGATTGATAAGGAGGGAAGGCCAGTATACATTGAAAGATTAGGGAAAGTTGATCCTAACAAACTCATGCAAGTCACAACCATGGATCGTTATATAAAATACCACGTAAGGGAGTTCGAGAAAAGTTTTTTGATTAAGTTTCCAGCTTGTACAATAGCTGCAAAAAGGCAGATCGATTGTAGCACTACTATTTTGGACGTTCAGGGAGTGGTAAGTTACTTTTGTCGGTTTTTCTTTCTCTAACCTTGATGATTTGAAAAACATTTTTTGTGCGAACAAGGTGTTATTCTTATCTTTATTCTTAATCATTGGTTTCTCAGGGTTTGAAAAACTTTAGCAAGAGTGCAAGGGAGCTCATTTTGCGGCTCCAGAAGATTGATGGTGATAATTATCCTGAGGCATGATTTTATCCGCACCTGAATAAATATTACTAATGAGGGTCTCTTAACTGTGGGATCATTCACACATTTTCCTATTTTTCTTTGATATGTGCAGACGCTTCATCAGATGTTCATAATCAATGCTGGGGCTGGGTTTAGGCTCCTGTGGAATACTGTTAAGAGTTTTCTGGACCCCAAGACGGCTTCCAAGATACATGTCTGTCAATGCTTTTCTCCACTTGTGTTGTCTCCGTTTTAAAAAATGTGGTTGCATTTACGTTACTTTTGTTTTGATGTCTCTTATAGGTTCTTGGGAACAAGTATCAGAATAAATTGCTTGAAATAGTTGATGCTAGGTAAAAAGAACTGAATTCTTAGCCATTGGTCAAGGAGTTTTTTCTATATTTATTTGTTTAGTAGTATTGCTGACAATCTGTTCAATGTTTTTCTGCTGATTTTTTATGCAGTGAGTTGCCAGATTTCATAGGTGGTAATTGTACATGTGCAGATCGAGGAGGTTGCATGCGTTCAGATAAAGGACCATGGCAAAATCCAGATATATTGAAGGTACTTTCAAGGCTTCACAGCCGATGTAACGTTATTTTCTGATAACGCTCTGTTCGTCACATCTTCAGGAAGATGTTTTTAAAAATGAGAAACCATCTCTTTTGGTGACTCAGAGATATTATTTCAAACTAATGGAACCCCACCCCGCCCCATACCCCCCACCCATTTTCTTTTTGGGATGTAGATGATTGGTGAAGCACGACGTGCCAAGCAGCTTGTTAAAGTTCTAAATAGTGAAGGGAAGATAGTTTATGCTAAGCCTCGCTACCCAACGGTAGGATTTCTGCCACATTTCCAAATTATTAAGAAATACTCCATATTGTTTGCTTTCCGGAAGGTTGGTACTCATATTCTTTATTTTTGCAGGTGAAAGGTAGTAGTGACACCTCTACTGCTGAATCTGGATCTGAAGCTGAAGATATTGCTTCCCCAAAAGCTGTAAGGAGTTATTCACATCTCCGGCTTACTCCTGTACGAGAAGAGGTATACTTTCCATTTTCGCTTAATTTCATGAATTGGTTTTTCTTTTAGTGTTTCACTTCTTTTGTGCTGAGGGTCTATCCAGAACTGCCTCTTTGTACCTCACAAAGGTATGGGTAGGGTTTGCATACATCCTACCCTCCCAAACCTCACTTGTGGGACTACACTAGGTATGTTGTTGGCTTTTCTTTTACTGAAAGGGCATTGTTTGGACATCACTTTATAAAAAAACCTTCTGGACATCAAACCACAATTGATATCTGAACGTTCTTGTTTGAGATGAGCCTGTGATTCAACCTTGTGTCACTTAGATTAATCACATTCACGTTCCTTGTTTGATTATGAAGTTGGGTATAGTATTTGTTATTGTCATATTTAAGGTTTGCTCTCCATCAAACAGGCTAAGGCTATTGGAATGCCTGGCTACACCTCAAACTTCCCAGGATATGATGAATATGTTCCCATGGTTGACAAGGCTGTTGATTCTGCATGGAAGAAGGAACCATCCCTTCAAAGACCCTCCACCCCCAAAGGTTAGAATTATTGAGAAGAGAATGCACTGCTTATGTACACACTATGAAAGGGGGAGGGGAGGAAGCATAAGCATCACTGAATTCATATAGTTAATTTAACTGGTGTTTTGCACCTAATCATGGAAAAAAGAGAAGCTCACTTTGTTAGGTGTACAATTCCAAGGTTAACTTGGAACACATTATGCTTCTTGTTGGCTTACTACAACAGTTTGTCTTGATAAATTTCTTCATTTGTATTGACATTATTTCCATCTCTATTTACCTTTTCCAGCGATGCTTCCACCAGCAGGCTCTGAAAAGCCTGTAGAAGGTCTTCATGCTCGAGTTTTAGGATTTCTTATGGCCTTCTTCATGACTGTTGTGTTGCTTTTCCGCTCAGTTACATGCCGTGTTACCAAGAAACTTCAAGATGCATCGACTGTTGAGAACCAAGATGTTCAAGACTTTACTTTTGATGCCAGCCCTAAAGAGGAGTTTCGACCCCCTTCACCTACTCCTGCCTTTACAGAAGCTCAACTGCTCTCCGTTGTTCTCAAGAGACTGGGTGAACTTGAAGACAAAGTAAATACTCTTCAAGAAAAGCCATCTGAGATGCCTTATGAAAAAGCGGAATTGCTAAATGCAGCTGTTTGCCGGGTGGATGGCCTAGAAGCTGAGTTAATAGCAACCAAGAAGGTAACAGTTTTTGATGTCTCTCTAAATAGGCAAAGGGAAATCCCGTTCTTGAGTTGATAACTTTTTTCCTGCTTGTTTATGGTTGAACAGGCGTTACATGAGGCATTGATGAGGCAAGAAGAACTTCTCGCTTACATTGACGGTCAAGAAGTTGCCAAGTTCCAGGTGAGCTTCTGTTATTGCATGGTAGTTGAATATCATCAGAGTAGGACTTTAGCCTAGTTAGGATTTTGTTGCCATAATATCTTGCGTTTTTTACTCGCTGAGAAGAAAAACTAGTATGAGAAATCAAGTTTTTTGAACAGGAATGCGCGTGCATTTTCCTCTTTGTGCTATTAAGTTGGTGTATTAGTGTGGTTCCATAAATTGAGTTTTGTTCTAATTTGCATCCATAATGCCTTGTTCTGCAGAAAAAGAAGAAGTTTTGCTTTTAAGATGACGATGGTTCAGGACGGGGATCTCGGATTTTCCACTGTAGTATCTCAAATGAGATACATATTTGTAATGTGTTGTCAAAATACTCCCAGTCATTGTGCAGTGCATCCGTGTTAAGTAATTCCTTTTTGGATCGTGTATTTCATTTACAAAATGAGGTGAACACTTGCTCATAATGTGAAAAATTATATTTTCTTTTAAGTTTGTTGTGTGTTTGTTTTTGACATTCTGAAGTAATATTTGAAATGATGATATAAAATGAACAAAGTCTGGATCATATAGCCGGCTCTAACTTGTTTGAGACTGAGGTGTAGTAGTTGTTGATGTAATATTTGAAGGTGATGTGATTCACAATCACCTCATGCCACCTTATATTCAAGTAGAAATGCACTAACTTTTCTAAATGGGTAGTGATTTTTAATTCCTTAACACTTAACCATCTGTGTGAATTGAAGTGAAATAATGAAAGCTAAAAGCTCAATTAAAACAAACAAACAGACAATATATTAGAAGAGGTAAAATGAACAATGTTGCTGTATCAAGACTGTAATATGAACAAAAGCAAACAGCAAACTGCTTCCATCTTTATTTACAGAAAAAAATACAAGCTGATGTTCTGTAATGTGCCATAATATATGGCATTTACAATTAGAGCTCCAATGGAGAGGGTGAACAGTAAATCTCGCCGAAGAAGATAGAACAAAGCTACTGCAGTAGTGCTGGTGAATAGCACAACAAGTAATGTAAACAATGTTCAAGTTTACAGAGTTAAATTTTACAAATATGTGAGAGATCATTCAAACAAACTTTCTTGGGCCAAAAAAATAAAATCACCATCTCTACATCTATATATCTAAAGAAATTCAAACTTAAAAAACAAAGAACTTCTTCTTCTTCTTCTTTTTCTTCTCAAGGACGGATAGGAGCTCTTGTTGACGGACAAGAGCTTCATCAAGAGCCTGTCAGTTTAAAAGTAAGCAAAAAAAGATTTAGTTAATGGTGACGAACAAGAGCTTCATCAAGAGCCTGTCAGTTTAAAAGTGAGCAAAAAAAGATTTAGTTAATGGAGTATGAAAGATTCCTTCTAATCTGAAGAAAAACAGATAATACCTTCTTGGTAGCTAAAAGTTCTTCCTCCAAAGTACCAACCCGGTTGATGGCTGCGTTAAGCATGTTCTCTTTCTCAGGTGGCATAGAAGAAGGTTTCTGGCTAAGAGTAATGACCTTATCCTCGAGTTCTTCCATGCGTTTCATCATGCTAATGTAATCTTTTGTCGAGATGACATGTCCATGAGTCTGTTCTTTAATCATGTCAGCACTATACAAAGAACCAGCCAAGAGTGTAGCATCTGTAAGTTTCCTTGGCATGTTTTTAGTCATCCGAACCAATGTCACAATTCCCATCACTAAAGTCATCACTCCACTGAAAACAGGGTTGCCAAATCCTTCTGATGACTTACAAGCATCGTGGACAGGGAAGAAATCTGTTGCTCGAAAAAGGAATACATGTTAATATAGCACAGAGGAATGAGCAGAAAGAGAAAAGTACTGAACTCAACCATGAGGTAAGGATTGCTCAACATCATATAACATTTCCTCAACATCAAGGGGGATTTGTATGTACCTTTAGAATTAGCTAAGTTGCCAACTTTTACTTGTTTAGGCCAAGTCGCATAGACAGCCTTGTCCACGATAGGGATATCAAACTGAAAAGCGAAACCAAAACGTAGAATTTAGAAGTCTGAATTAGTCGGAAAAGTTGTGTCTGATGAAGAAGCAACTTACTTCCTCACAGACAGGGGAAAGCTGGCCATTATCCCTTTGAACCTTGGAAGAGTCAGTTTCCTTTCTAAAAGAAGTGCTCTTCTGCAACATTGAGGGACTTTGTTACTCATCCAATATATAAAAGTAACTGAGAAAAACAGCAGAGATACACACCTTGGTGTTGGCATTGTCATCCTCTGGGATAGTTTTCTCATCAATAGAGATTACAATTTTGTGTGAACATTTATGCTCACCATTGCGAACCATCTGTGCATCAAATCAATCACAGATTTCAGAGGAAATTGATACTACTAGCAGTCTTAAAGGTACAAATGAACCAAAGGACTTACGAATTAGGAATTCATCTTATAGTATTACTAATCTTATGAATGCAAAAAATTACAAAGTTGAAAGTTACCCTCATTATTTCTGGATCATTCCATGGACCTTTATCAGAAACCATGCATCCTCCTTTATCAGCACAAGTACATGTTCCACCTAAGAACTCCGGCAATTCGCTGGTACAATCAAACAATAATTAGGCTCTATGCAGATAGATAATCTAGTCTGAAATGTATAATTTCACCTCAAGTTAAGAGTTACCTTGCGTCAATTATTTCAAGCAACTTGCTGTGATATTTATTGCCAAGAACCTAGAAAAAACACAATAAGACTTGTGTTATACTACATGACAGACAAAAATAGTGCTTAGACTTGTGGTTGAGTATGAGCTTACATGGATCTTTTGAGTGGTCTTTGGATCAAGGAATGACTTGACGGAATTCCATAAGAGCCTGAATCCAGAGCCAGCATTGATGATGTACATTCGGCACAAGCTCTAGAAATTGAATACATGATTTAATTAAACATGAGGACTTAAAAACTCTTATTTAACATATGATATGAATGGCTGCCCTGTTGTACCTCGGGGTAATTGTTGCCATCAATAGCCTGGAGGCGTTGAATGAGATCCCTTGCTGACTTGTTGAAGTTTTTAAGTCCCTGAGGCAGGCATTCATGTAAGTTATACCGAAAAATGAGGCAGGTTCACAGTGATTGATTGTGAAAAATTTATCCTATGATCATACCACTCCTTGGACATCCAGGATAGTTGTGCTTGTGTCAATGTGTCTTTTGGCTGCAAGTGAGCAGGCTGGCATCTTCTCATTAATGGTCCTCTCGAACTCCTGTACATGATACTTGAGATATCGGTCCATTGTTGTGGCTTGTAATAGCTTGACCGAATCTACTTGACCAATTCTTTCAATGTAAACTGGTCTCCCTTCTTTGTCAACTCCATGATGGCCTTGTGGATAGTACTTTAGGACCTCTTCCTTTTCCTTGAAGTCAAAGTCCTAATCAAGATGCACAAAACATCATCATCATCATCATCAGTTCCTAAAAACTTGAGATTCTCAGTAGCATTATCAAAAATACCTCTGTGATGGTGTCTGCACCGAATTCCCTCCTCCACTGGAGCATATCAGACCACATCTGCTTTGTTTTCTCAATGTCAAACTTTCTAGCCTTCAAGAATCTGTCATTTTTCACATGTTATTTATTATACACGGAAAAGGTCCAATTATGATCTGATGAGAAAGGTATGTCATAAGAAAACAAGTAGAAATGAGTTTGGACACCTTAGCATCAAATGGTAGTCATCATGTTTAGCAGGAAGTAATTCTTCAAGGATGAGAGCTTGGCGTAAGGCATCAACTGCCTTTAATTCCTCCGCGTCATGCTCATCTTCTAAAACAAGGACAGACATGACTCTGCTGTTTCTACGACCCCTTTTTGTTAGAGAATTTCTAAACTTGGTGGAGGCATTAATTGCCGCTTTCTTGATAGATCCAAGCCTTGTCTTCCTCTCATCTTCTGCATCCATATCAAACTTTTCTAGACCTGTGAAACAACAAACATAAGCAGATGCCATATGCTACCTAACAATCAACATGATAGCCATAGACTAACAACAACACAAAACTTACTTGGCCTGACAGGTCTTTCAAGAGGTCCTGACTTGTACTCACTCATGATTGAATGTAATCTCCTGGAGATAAATTAGAGGTTTAATCTTTTCTTTTCTTGCTGAATTCCTACACCTTTTCAAACAAAAAGTTAGAGAAGAAAAAACCAACAAAAATAGGCACTTGAGATTTCCTCAATATATATAAGAATTAGTCCAAAAGCAAAACAAAGTTAATTCATGATCCCAAAGAGACAATAGTTCAATCATCAACCAAACCAATAGGGGACAATCTAACATTGCACACCTTAGGAATGAAGTCTTTGATAACATGTTATGAAAATAAATATCGAACCTAACTCAAGCTAAATAACATAACGATACGACAATTCAATCTCTCAACCGAAGAATCTAAACCATTAATCTTATGACATTCAAGAAAAAGTAGGAAGAATATTATTATTATTATTACCAGTGACATAAGTGTCAGGGACATTTGAGAAAATTGGTAGAGAGTCGTCTTATATAACCGAATTATTAGTCTCCGAAAGTATTGCTGTCCCAATAACTTAGCTAATGGACAAGCGATAATATTTCTTTCTATTTTTCTAATCAGATAATAAATGCTGATTTAATTTGGATACATTAATTTGATAATAATTACTACTACTTTTAATTTGACGAGGTCCTCACATTAGTCAAATATACAGCTAAGCTAATATCTTCTTCGTGTTTTATGCGTAATGCAAAGCACTATCTTCAAAATATAGGTACTCTCCCCACGCTTATAAGCCTTACATTTTTTTTTTGGCTTTATCAATGTCATTGTCATAAATGACACGAATAATTTTTAAGCTATTGTACTTTTTTTCTTTCCGTGTCAAATTATTCGCATTGTCGGTTTCAAGTTTGGATAAATAAGGAGGATTGTTATTATTGATATTTAATTTACCTGTTTGAAGTGGAGGAGAACCGATTATTACCTTATCCAACTACCTATATATAGACGATGGTTGATCCTTCTACAATCACTTGAAAAGAAATAATATTGTACTCTTCATGATATGAGAGTTAATTATTCATGTAAGTAAGAGACTGAAAATATAGTCATAAATTATAATAATATGTTACATAATAATGCTGATGAATTATCATGTCTATAATTATTATGTTACATTTGGTTCAAGGAATAGCAATAAATTTTCCATTATTCCAAAATATACATGTGAACCAAATTATTGAAATTCATAATGCATTCATAGATTGAGAATTATTAAGAGATTGGTATAAATACATATGGGTGAGAGAAGGAGGTTGGTGGTTGATCAATTTATTTTGTTCAATATAATATTTAAATTTGCTAAGGGGTTAATTGAAATTGATGATTAATAAACCAACATTATCAAGCTTAGATTACCTCAAGTCAATTTGTCAATGAATCTAACATTATGCTGCTCCACTAAGTGGCATT